CATCAACTCAAAAGGGAGCTCCAAATTTAGAGAAGTTGGGTTCTATGAGCTTGTTTTTCAAAACTGCGAAAGCTTGCACACACTTTTCATTGAATACAAATTTCATCTCCTTCTACAGAAGGCTGCACATAGGCCTGATCTTCAAAAAATCTTTGATGAATCTCCTGTAGAACCCAACGTGATCAAGAAAACTTCACACCCCTTTTACAAAAATGGGAAGGGGAAACTTTTCAAATACTTCCATTTTAGCACGATTGACTTCCATCCTTTTCTTTGAAATCGTATTCCCAAACACAATCCCTTTCTTTTCTATAAAATGACATTTTTCTCAGTTAAGGACGAGATTTGTTTCTTCGCAACTAGTTAAGACCCTGTCCAAATTCCCCAAACACCGAGAAATCGTCCATGAATGTCTCCACAAAATCCTCAACCATATCATGGAAAATAGATAGAATTCATCTTTGGAAAGTAGATGGAGCATTGAATAACCCAAACGACATCCTCTTGAATGCATATGTATCATAAGGGCAAGTGAAAGTGGTTTTCTCTTGATCTTGTGGTGCAATCAAAATTTGGTTGTAACCGGAATAGCCATCCAGAAATCAATAATATTTTTTCTCAACCAAATGATCAAGTATTTGATCAATGAAAGGGATAGGGTAATGATCCTTCCTGGTGGCTTCATTCAATTTCCTGTAATCCATGCATATTCTCCGTCTAGTGAGTGTCCTGGTTGGGATCAACTCATTTTTATCATTATTAATCACCTTCATGCCTTTCTTTTTTGGTACACGTTGCATTGGACTAACCCACTTGTCGTTCAAACTTGGGTAGACAATACCCGCATATAGCCATTTGATCACCTCCTTGCACACCACATGCTTGATTATTGGGTTTAGCCTTTGTTGAGATTGCACAATTGACATGTGCCCGCAACAAAAAGGATTACCCGTAAAGTATCATTTGCACTTAAGAATGCATACCTGAGGTGAGAAGGGAGAGACTTTAATTCCTACTTTGGTGTTTCCTCAATCGAAGGTTTAGGAGGTGGGACCAAGACTTTATTCAATGGTTACACAAACTTGTGAACCATACTCACATTTGGACATTGAGGACATTATCCATCTCTTGGGCTTCAACATCTCCCTCAATGTCTTGCCTAATCAACACTTTTTCTAAAGGTTCCTTGTCCTCGACAAATTTGGTTGTCACTTCATTTTCAAAGACTATGATTGCCGATAACTCTTCATATATAGCGGGCAAATTCATCGCTTTGTAAACATCAAAGACTTTGACCTTATCATGAGCTCTCATTGTTAGCCTACTGGTTGCCACATCAATTAATGCTCTTCCCATAGCTAGAAATGGTCATCCCAAAATAAATTGGACCTCAGGGTCAGGCTCAAAATCCAGAATGACAAGTCCACGCGGAAAATTAGAGTTCTCACTTGAACTGAGACATCTTCGATAACGCTATCTTGCCTCAAAATAGAATGATCAACTTATTGCAACATGATGGTCGTTGGTTTAGGACTTCCTAGTTCCAATTTAATAAACATGGAAGTAGGCATCAAATTAATACTTGCACCTAGATGCATAAGCCTCTTGCCTCCACGCATTTGCCAATTTTTATTTGTATCGTGAAACTCCCCAGATCTTTTAATTCGATTGGGAGCCTATTTTGGATTCGAGAACTACACTCCTCAGTAAATGCAATTGTTGCATACTCGGCCAATCAACTCTTATTTCCACCACCTCTTTAAATGCCCTAAAACACATCAATCAAGGGCAAGTTAACATATACCTGCTTGAGTAATTTAATGAACTTACCGAAACTCTCCTCCTCCTTTTGCTTTTTGAATTTCTATGGAAAAGAAGGTGGTGGTTTTATTTTTGGTTCCTCATACACCCTTTGTTCGTTAGATTCTTCTTCCTCTACATGTTTTCCTCTTTCTTCAACCATTTTTTTCCTTAGATGCCAAAATCCTCCAATGGGCGCCCACTCCGAGTGCTCACCTCATTTAGTTGTTTTGTGTTGGGGTCGGTGTTTCCCTGCAATCCCCTTTGTAGTTGGGAGTTTTGGGAACTAGAAACTTTCCCAAATTATTTCTCCAAATTTTGTGTTGCCAGTCGATTTTTTTCGAACATTAGCCGCCAATTTATCTTGATACGCCATCATTTTTTTAAGCATACCTTTCACACTCATATCACCTTGTTTGGCACCCTGCTGATTACCTTGAGTTCTTTGTTGGTTTTCAAGGCTTGGTTGATGGTATTGTTGTCCATTGCTCTGTGGTATGTATTAGTTCTGTCGTTGTGGTTGGCTCTGATTTCCACCCCATGAAAAGTTTGAGTGATTTCGCCAGCTTGAGTTATAAGCATTTCCATAGCTTTGGTAATTCCCTCCTCGCTGAACATTCCCTACAAAATGAACAGATTCTGGGTTTGCTCCACATACCTCAGCACTATGATATCCACCTCCACATACTTCACACCAAGCTTGTTGTTTGTGAAACATATTAATTTGGGCTTGTTGTTTTCCTATTGACATGTTGCTGAAATGAGTGTTCGTCATATTCTGCATTAACACAATCTGCGTGGACAGAGTTGGACTGCATACATCTCTAAAACTCCGGCAGTCTTCTGTATGTTCGTTTTCACTCCTTCGCCATTCCACTTAGGATTAACTTGTGAAATTCGATTTAATAATGTAAACAACTCAGCATATGTCTTCTTCAAAGCCTGTCCACCTGCAGCAGAATCAAGTAAATTTTTTGTATTTGGTTCCAACCTCTCAATGAAGGTTTGGACCAACATATCGCTAGCTTGATGATGATGTGTGCAACTTAATAATAGATACTTAAACCTATCCGACGCTTGGTACAAATTCTCCCCTCTTTTCTGTCATAAGATCAGTATGTCGTTTCTCAAATTCGTTGTCTTACCGGATGGGAAGAACCATATCAAGAATTTCTGGGCAAGATCACCCCAAGTTGTTATGGAATTTGCAGTCTTAGAAATCAACCATTTTTTTGCTTCCCCAAGCAGAGAAAAGGGAAATAATGTAAGCCACACATAATCAGAGTTCACTCCCGCTGGAGTGTAAGTGTCACTAATCTCGAGGGAAATTCTGTATATGCACTTGGGGATTCTCATGAAATAGACTAGTGAACTGTCCATTTGTGTGCAATAATTGCACTATGTTGTGCTTCAATTCAAACCTCTCACCTAGTGCGGGTTTAAGAATACTTGATATAACATTGGTGGTTTATGGGATTGCCACATCCCTCACCTTCATTTTCTATGATCATCTTGGTCTTCCATCTCTTGTGGGGGTTTAGGTTACCTGACAACACGAGGATCAAGACGATTTCTCCTTCTTTGCCTTTTCTGATAATGAACAAATCTCTCCGGATCATATAGAGGCTCTACCAAACCTTGGTTGTTTTCCAATGCGAAAATCTAACACAGCCAACACAAAAGAGAGGCCAAGATCATGTTTTCAACACATATAGCAATAACTTAGACACTCTAAAACTAGATATATGTCGATTTAGAAGTCCGCAACAGCGGAGCCAAAAATTTGTAGCGTCCAAAATAGCACGCAAGTGCATGTGGTCACTCAAGTAGTAAGTATACTCTTTCAAATCTAATGTTCGTACCCAATTCACTTCAAATCAGAGAATACCAATTTACAATGACTATCTAAGTTCATTAAAGCGTTAATTAGATTGAGAAATTTGATTAACTATTGTTTCAACCTTAAAAAGAATTAGTTACTATGACTGAAAGATTTTAACAAAGAAACCTTACACGTTGGAGAGACATCCCAGGGTTGTAGCATAACTCGAATTTCGGTTCAATGTGTTTCTGTTCCAAAGTGCACGAGGTTGATTTATTGTGGATTGGCAAGGTTCAATTTACAATCATAATCTTCTGACTTCGAATCGCCTACCACTATTGACAACCTAACTTATCATCTAGCGCGGTTAGGTATGAATCAATAACAATGCACTGAGTACTTATCTTGCATTTTAACCAAATGTGGTGCATATTAAAGCTATCCTATACACAAAACAGTCTAGAGCTTCCTCTAGAATGAGACATCTCTTGCATTCTTCGGTCTATCCCTCCATTCATATTCCGGATCCAAGAATGGATACTAAATATATTCTAATGTTGATCAAGCATTAAAATAAATAAATGAGAATGCTAGTACAAAATAGACACAACCTTTTTCATACAAGGAACAAATTCACGTTAAACCATCATTCATATCCACAACCCTAGGACAAGAAATTTTAGCTACCCATATTACAAAATAACAAGATAAAATATATTAGAAGCATACAAGTCTTTACCAAGATGAAGGAGGAGAAGAAAAATCCTGGAATTTAGCACTAAAATTTCCCTAAACTTCAACTCTCGTTATGTAGAAAGTGTAGTGTGCAATAAAAGACACTTAAACTATTTATAGTCCAAAATATACATGTGGGATGATTTTCTTGTCCAGGTCCTTGATGCGGATATGTTCCCTCACTAAATTTTTCTTATAAGGGGAATTACCTCCTCGACGCGAGTCTATCATGGAATCCCCTGTTATAGGAGTTCCTTTTTTGGATAGGACCGCGACACGAAGGTGCTTCTTGCTAGTGCAATCTTCTTCTTGGTTCTTATTTTTCACCACTTCTTCTTCTGCTTTCCAACCTTTAATCCAATACCCAAATTCTACTCCTTTTTCAATGATCTTCGGCCTGAAACATCTGATCATGTTGGTTAGAAAATGTGTAATCAAAACGACTCTAATCACTTGACTTAACCACCAAAAATTTCCTCACTCAGCTATATGTATGGGATAAAAATGGTTGTTAGGCATATAAATACGCCTAAGATTAGGTTACTGTTTATTTTAGGGTGATAACTTGATATCATGGTCCGCTAAACGTCAGGCTACTTTATCCTGTTCTAGTGCAGAGTAAGAATATTGAGGGGTTGCCAATATGGTTTCTGAGTCATGTTGGTTGCGAAATTTTCTTCTGGAACATCATTGTCGTATGCAACAAGCTACATTGGTGTATTATGATAATGTAAGTGCAATATATGTTGGTGGTAATACTTTTGAACATCAACGCACTAAGCACAATGAAATGAATAAACATTTTGTATGGGTAAAAGGTGACTCGGGGTTAAGTGAAAGTGTTACATGTCCCCTTGCGTTATCATATTGTAGACATATTCACCAAGGGTCTTCCGTTGGTGTTGTTATAATATATGATTGTGGGAGTGTGTTAGAATATATGATAAATATATCTTGGTTCATTGTATATACCTTTGTTAGGTGTATATTTAGTTCCTACTTATAGCTAGTTTGGTTCCTTAATTATAGTCTTATATTGATTGTATATAAACCTTGATATCAATGAAATAATGCACAAGTGAATGCGGATTCAAATCCACGTTTGATGAAAAAAATAACATAGCAGAAGAAGAAGAAGACACTACACCATTTTAGGTCTACGACCACACTTATTCTGGACTACACTTGTAAAGTGTTGCCTAAAGTATTTTTGGGAACGCTTTTAAAACGTAGCCAAAATTTTTCACTTTTAGCTATAATAATTTTGGCAACACTTCAAAAGTGTACTCTTTAATAATATAAGATGCACTTTATAAGTGTTGTTAAAGTATGATATAATTGGCAACACCTATTTACGTATATGACCACATTTCTAAAATGTCCTATTTTTATAATTAAAACAACAACACTTTATAAGTGTTGCCTTAAAATTTTTCACTAAAATATTATATTCCCTCCAATATTTTTAACACTCCCTCCCATTTTTATTGGCCAAAAAAATTAAACATTAACAAAACATTTTGACTTCACTTTCCTCTTTCAGCTTTCCTTTTCACGTTTCTCTTTTCAGCAGAAGAATTGGCTGAAGAACTAAAGATTCCAATACAAGCTAAAGAACTAAAGGTTCGAAGTGAAGAGAGGTGAAGATAGCTGAAGAAGTAATTCTCTTTTCTAATACAAGCTAAAGATTCGATGAACTGAGGTGAAGAGTTGAACGATTGCTTGAAGAGTAAGAACAATTTCTTTAAGAGTAAGAACAATTCTGTTTTCCGAAACTTATTTAATTTTTTCGAAATTCAGTTGATTTTTGAAGTGTAGCTCGTAAACGTTTAGATTTTTCTTTGCTTTTCATGTTAATTTCTGCAGATACTTAAGATTTTCCTTGTTCTTATTCTGATTGCTGGTACTGTTGCTTGTCCATGTTTAAGATCTTTCTTGCTATAATGTTTGTTTTAATCTATAGTCGCTAATTTTTTTACTGTGCTCATCTTAATCTTTGTTTGTTCATTTGTTAATCACAATAATTTTGTCTTGTCTCTGTTTGTTGGAACAATTTTTTTGTTTTCGACTGTATGTCTTCAAGAGTGAAGAAGTCATTTTGTTGTTTCTCGAGTGCATTTTAAGTATAGATAGTAACTTTAGTATTCTAAAATGTTTTGGGATAACCTCGTAGTATGAAGTAGTTAGAATCATTTCATAGTATTTGATTACTACATTTGCGTGGAGTTTTTCGTTTAGCCTAGCTAATTGAGTAGTTTTGGCCATAAGCACAAAAGAGACCCTCTTACTAGCATGAGTTGGCTGCCTATTTACTTCAAATGTTCTTCTCTTTAAGTCCGTGTTTAATCAACTTAAAGATGACATTCTCTATCTTTTATTTTGTGGTTTTCAGTGTATCTGTCGCTAATGCCAATATTAAGATAATTTCAGTTTAAAGTTCACATTTAATTTTGTGAGATTTTTATCCTTATTCGGACAGTGGTTGATCATGCTATTTTTGAATTTGCATCTTCATTTATTTGCCCTCGTAATTTTGTGAATCACTAATTTTGATACCTCGTGTCAAGTGAGAAGTCAGTTCCTTTATGTTGGTATTTCCCAAATAATGATAACTCATTTAGGTGATTAAATTTCCTCTAGTTTTCATTTATTTTGTACAAGTTTCCTTAGTTGTAGTCCTTGTTTTATATTTTGAATCACTTGTATTGTTTGCTTCTTTTGCATATCAATTCGTCAATAAAATGAAAGTTAGTTGGAATCGTCTGTATTGTTTGCTTAAAATCTCAGATGCTAACTTCCTTCTGTTACTAAACATCGACTTATTTTCACAGCATTGGTAGAATCAACTTATGAATGTATTTTTTCTCTTTTTTTGTTTTCGGCTTGTTGCTGCTCTTTTCTTTTGTCAGATATCAAATATCAGTCTATCTTCAGGTGGGGGTTGTTGGTTTGTAAACAAATATGTTTACTTGGCCACAAATGATTTTGTAAATAGATGACTCTGTGGTTCTTCCTTTGCTTTTCATGTTAATTTCTGCAGATGGTTAAGATTTTCTTTGTTCTTATTCTGATTGTTGGTACTGTTGCTTGTCCATGTTTAAGATCTTTCTTGCACTATAGATCTTGAAATCTGTGATACTGCTGCATGTTTTCTTGGTTAATAAATATGTTTGTGATGCAATTAGCTAATTGATTAACTTCTCTAAATATATGTACTATCTGGATTTGAATTGTTCCCATAATCATATGCATCTCCTCTATCTTATCAATTATACTCCAATAACCTCCACTCTCATTGAATCATGTTCTTGAGACTTAGCGAGTCAGTATCTAAAATGGCATTTGTGATCCCACACCTCTTGCAATAACTTAGTGCTTTCCAAATTGTTGTGATTTCAGCTTCAATATTTGTCGTGCTGCCTATGCTTTGTTTCTGCATATACTAGATTTCCTTGGATTCCTATTATACAAAATCCGTAAGAATTCTCTCCTGGGTTGACTTTGCTAGAGCCATTCGTTCTCTCTTAGGTTGCCTTGGGGTGGTAACAGGGGATCTATGATCTCGATTCACTTTTCAACAATTACAATTGATTGCACTCACAGAAAGGGTGGGTACTGGGATTACTTCTCTGAACTTCATGATGAACCTGCAGGACGGACCGTCATAGACTCGACGGACCGTCGTGGACTCCGTAACCCCAGACCTAGACCTACCCATCTTCCTTCAGCAGTTGCACTACGCTGCCACCTACAGACCGTCACAAGTATGACGGTCCATTGAGGGTCTTCGTTCTAAAATACTTAAACTCTTGGAATATGGGTACTGGGATTACTTCTCTGAACTTCATGACGAATCTGCAGGAGGGACCGTCACACACTCGATGGACCGTCGTGGTCTCCGTAACCCCGCACTTAGTCTGCGTAGACTTCCCCATCTTCCTTCAACAGCTGCACTACGCTGCCACCTACAGACCGTCACAAGCACGATAGACCGTCACAGGCTCTGTAACCCCACACTGAGTCAGACTTCCCCATCTTCCTTCAGCAACTGCACTACACTGCCACCTACGGACCATCACAAGCACGACGGACCGTCACAAGCTCCGTAGGTGGTCTCTTCTGCATTTCTTTGCTCAAAATCTCCGCATTTATCTATGGACAGATTTATGTATATCCTATTAACTGTACTTATTTTTTTATTTATAGTAACATCAACATTGAAAAACATTTGTGGAGGATTAAAGGTTTGATTTGACATAGCAAAAGCCTCATGACTAGGTAAGAAACTTTTATCATCTCATAACATATGATTCTGATAGATTACTCGTGACTTTTAAAACTTATTTGTTAACTGGTTAATGATTATTTTTGAAAGACTAAATATTGATATATTCTTCTAGTTCACATATCCCATCCAAGGATTGGATGAATTTAGCAAGGTATAGAAAAGAGTATATTGATGGCATTGAATCATTTCTAAATTTTGCTTACTCTTATGGAGATCCTCATGGAGAGAAAATTCAGTGTCCATGTGCGAAATGTTGTAATATTCTTTAGAACCGAAGGAATGTAGTGTATGATCATCTAATATGCCATGGATTCGTTAAAGGCTATACTAGATGGATCAATCACGGGGAATGGGATATCAAGTTGAATGTTGATGATGATATGGTTTACTCGTGTGATGATATTGATGGGTTGTTGAATGATCAATTTAGAGATGTTGCACAGGCTGGAGGAGTTTATGATTGTCCAAAAGAAGATGCCAAGAAATTCTATAGCTTACTTGAAGAGGAAAACCAAGAATTATTTTCTGGTTGTATAGGTTTCTCTAAATTATCATTCACACTTCGCTTATATTTGTTGAAGTTTTTACATGGATGGAGCAATGAATCATTCACTTCTCTTCTAGAGTTATTAAAAGAGGCGATGTCCGAGTTGAACATTCCTCAATCTTACAATAAAACCAAGTCTATGGTTAAGAATCTTGGTCTGGATTATGATAAAATTGATGCATGTCCAAATGATTGCATGTTGTTCAGGAATGATCATAAGGATGACAAATTTTGTCATAATTGTAGAGCTTCACGATATATTCAAGCTCCTAAAGTTGATAGTGAGCTTGAGTCTTCAAAAAAACAACATCGAGTTTCTGCAAAGACTTTGAGACACTTTCCATTAATTCCTAGACTCAAAAGGCTATTTATGTGCTCAAAGACGGCAGATTCTTTGAGGTGGCATGAAGAGGAACGTTCTAAAGATGGAAAGTTAAGGCATCCCGCTGATGGTCTAGCATGGAAAGACTTTGATAGGGTGCATCCAGATTTCGCACAAGATTGTCGCAATGTGAGACTTGGCTTGTCAAGTGATGGATTCAATCCATTTCGTACCATGAGTATATCACATAGCACATGGCCAATTATGTTGATGATTTATAATCTGTCGCCTTGGATGTGCATGAAATCTGAATATTCCATACTTTCTTTACTTATACCTGGACCGCAATCACCTGGAAATGACATTGATATTTACTTACAACCATTGATAGACGAGTTAAAATTATTATGGGATTCTGGGGTTGAAACATAAGATGCTTCCAGAAATGAAACTTTTCAAATGCGGGTAACTCTTATGTGGACAATGAGTGATTTTCCTGCATATGTTATGTTATCTGGTTGGAGTACAAAAGGAAAGTTTGCTTACCCTTGGTGTAACTATGGCACTAATTCTCGCTATCTTAAACATAGTCAGAAAATGTTCTATATGGATCATCGTGTTTTTCTACCGATGGATCATCCATGGAGATCAAACAAAAGATCATTCAATGGAAAAACTGAATTTAGGCCTCCTCCAGCTCCTTTAAAGGGAATTGATGTTCTTAATATCTTACGTGATTTTGAAAATGTGTTTGGGAAGAAGAAAAAGAGATCATATGATGGCCCATGGAAAAAAAGGTCAAATTTTTTTGAATTACCTTACTTGAAACACAACTTGTTACGTCACAACCTTGATGTAATGCACATAGAGAAGAACATAGTTGATAGCATACTTGGAACTCTTTTGGATATTTCAGGAAAAACAAAAGATCATGCAAAAGCACGGTATTATTTAAAAGATATGGGAATTAGGAAGAACCTTCATCCACAAGATACAGAAGATAGTAAGAGAACAAAGTTTACAAAGGCATGCTTCTCAATGACAAATGGAGAGAAATCCATCTTTTGTGGAGTTTTAAAGACAGCTAAGCTACCTGATGGTAGTGCCTCCAATATATCTAGGTGTGTGCACTTGGATGAAAGAAAGGTGTCTAATTATAAAACCCATGATGCTCCTTTTATGTTACATTACTTGCTTCCAATACCAATTAAAAGCATTCTTCCTGATCATGTGGCTATTCCTTTGATTCGTCTAAGTTCCTTCTTCCATCGTTTGTGACAAAAAGTAATCACATTGGAGGAACTGGATTGCTTAGAAGTAGAGATCATAGAAACTAGTAAATCAGTTGGAGCGAATTTTTCCTCCTTCATTTTTTGATATCATGATTCATTTGCCTATTCATTTGGTGAATGAAGTGAGATTAGGCGGACCAGTGCAAAATCGATGGATGTATTCCACTGAAAGAGAAATGGGTACATTCAAATCATACATTCGCAATAGGCGTTTTCCAGAAGGTTGCATAGCAGAGACACGAGTGGGAATAGATTGCATGAATTTATTCTCAAAATATTTGAATCGGGGTGTAAATACCAGATTTAATAGGAGAGCGCGAAACAATGATGAATGTGACCCAAGTGATGCAGAACCTGTGAGTTTGTTTTCTAACAAAGGAGTTCCTTTAGGAGCAAAGAAAACTGATCCAATCATTTTAGATGACAAGTCACTAAGTCAGGCACATGCATACTTATTGGGAAATTGTGACGATGTTCAAGAATATATTAGGTACCTTAATTTGAATATACCATTCCTTTTGTTTAATTAATTTTTATCTTATTTAATTTATTATTTTAACAAATATAGTATAAATTTTGTAGAGAGCATGAGCAAGTTAATAATCAGTCAAGAAGATCTAAATGGAGCAAAGCCAAGAATCATTTTCAAAACTTTTTTCAATGGTTTAAAACTCGTGCTTTGCAAGAGGATGTGCCAGATTTAATAAAACAATTGTCTAGAGGACCAAATTCTGTTGCAAAAAGATATTCTGGGTATCTCATAAATGATTATAGATTCCATGTTAGGCAGCATGATGCAAGGCGTAAAACACAAAATAGTGGTGTTACACTAATTGCCTCAACTACAAGCTTTGCAAGCTCAAAGGATAAAAATCGGATTGCTGCAGATTTGACTTATTATGGTAGAATAGTTGATATTGTTGAATTAAACTATTACAACCATTTTAAGGTTGTTTTATTTAAGTGTGATTGGTATGAGTTTGAAAAAGATGTTTATGGCCTTACTTATGTCTACTTTAACAAGAGATGCTCTCAGGAAGAGCCTTTTGTGCTTGCATCTCAAGTACACCAATGATTCTATGTGCAAGATCCATATGATCAAGATAAACATTATGTTATGAAGACTGTTCCAAGAGACTTGTTTAACATGGGTGATGAAGTTGAATCTAATCTCCCACAAAGTTATGAAAATGAGCCATCTGAACATTCGAAGGGTCCATCTATACCAAAAGATAATGGTGAAGTACTCTTAATAAGGACTGATTTAGCAGAAACAATCATTGATGTGCCTGTGGAGGAATTTGTCAATCAACAACTTGAAGTCGAGTATGAAGAGGAGTTTGAAGATGAGTTCGAAGATGAGTCTGAAAATGAGTATGAAAATGAGTTTTCAGATGCGTTTGAAGACGAGTCTGAAAATGAGTATGAAGATGAGTCTGATGATGAAGTTGAGTCTGAAGAAGTGTCTGAATAAGACACACCATGAGTTTCATTATTGTTGTGATGATCATATAGTGCTCACTCACTGTTTTTGTAATATAATAGTTTTTTTTTGTAAAATACATTAATATATCTAATATGTGGAATGTAATATGTTGCCTTCTTATCTGATTATTATTTTATTGAGGAACCTATACTTCTAGCTTATTTTTGCTTGATTTGGTTGTTTGTTATTTATATACTTTCTGGTTTCATTTTATTATCAGGCAGTTGGCATTAGAGGCATTCAACTCTGTAGTTTGAAGTTGCTTCTGGTTTGGTCGTTGTCCTGAATTTGTCGCTCCGAGAAAGGTACAACTCTTTACCTTTTATTAATTTAAGTAATAAGAAGCTCTATAGTTTTTAAATGTGGATGCAGCCAACGACCTCTTGTTTCATATGTTATCATTTTTTCTGTTTGTTCATGTAGTTCTTCCAATTTGAATCCGTCCTGCTACTTCTTTCACTTAAACAATCTTATTATTTTGTAGGTTTACTTACTATCGGGAAACAAATTGAAGAGATTTAAACAAAGCAAAAACAATGAATCAATCAACAATGCTAAATAAAAAGGGTTTGAAACCAAACAAAGCTAAAAGTCCATTGAAGAATCTGGATGTTGATATGCAATACCGATCAAGTGCTGAATTGGCCAACAAATTCAAGATTAAGAGAGAACAACTTGCAAATGAACGCAATGATAAAGCTAAGAAAGAGCAGGCACCAATATCACATAAAACAAAGAATTTTGAGGATTTCATTCCACAACAAGGAAAGAGTAAATTGCTTGGGCACAAATCAGTCATTCAATCGTCTTCAAGGGAAGAGCTTAGAACCTTACGCATGATTGCAGGGAAAGGACAAACTAAACAGAGGTTATTTCAATTTGAAGATTCCATTCAAGATAATGGAACTAAACTTCCTATGAATAATTCTAGGTTCCATACGTCATTCAATAAAGATGTTACTGCTTCAGCACATGCGACTGGAACAACACTAGGTAATGGAGAGGCACGACATGATATTCTTGATCTACCGAATTGCAAACAGGTAAAGAGGAAGCCGGTCATACCAGCTAGTACTCTTGATCAGTTTCTAAAAGATCAAGGGATACACAAAGATGATGAAACAAAACGTGACAACAACACAACAAGTGATGTCGAATTTATGCATACTCCTATTATTAATGAACATAACAAAGGATTGGATGATCGTGTGGAACAAGAAGAGGAAATTGACATTGATTGTATTACAAAAGGTATGTTTTAAACCTTCTAAGATTTAGAACTCGTTATAAAAGAAATATCTTATTTCATGTCTATTACATCAATCTAGAAATGTCGAAGCCAAAAAAAGTTCGAGGACATACAACATGTAAGGATATTCATGCAATAAATTTGGAAGAAAGAAAGGAGGTGACATTTGATAAAGGACAAGCGGTGGGACCAACTAATAAGATAGTGTCACAATTAAGCAACTTTATAGGAACAATTGCAAGGAATCCTAGATTCATCAGCTTGATGTACACTAGTTGGCATGTGGTGCCAAATGATACTAAAAAGCGCATGTGGGAATACGTCAATGTAAAAACAACCACTCTTGAGAATTCATATTGTTTTTACTTACTGAAACTAAATATATTTTATTTTGCATAGTCCAAATTTCTACTTCCAGTAGAAGGAAAGAAGTGGGTGATGGCTGGTCTTTATGATGCTTGGAGGCGACACAAGCAAAAAATTAAAAAGAATTTTTTTGATAAAAACAGTACCCTTGAGGATATGCTAGCAAAATGTCCTGATGGCATTCCACATAATGAATTCCGCCAGTTGATCGAGTATTGGAAACACCGAACTGTTCAAGTAGGGTTAAAATGGTGCATTTTCACTCATCGACTAATTCTGTGTCATATCTATTCTTTTTATACATATCAATTCAATTATCTCTTTGTTTTTAACAATAGGCTATATGCGAGATGAATTCTCAAAACAGGAAAAAACAAAAGTGGAGGCATCGAATGGGACCTATTAATTTTGCTAGAGTACGTGTGGCATTGGTAATACTTAGTTGACATTTCATACAGAATTTGATTTTCATTTTTTGTACTTTATAAGAACTTACTGATTTTTTAAAATTTCTTTTGATATAATTTGTAGCGTGCAGCCAAAGACAACAACGAAGAACCATCAAAACCTGAAATATTTATTGCAACTCGTACCAAGACGGTAAAGGAAATCCAGGCTGATACCCAAATTGCAATAGTAAGTTTTTCAAAGAGGATTATTAGTGAACTTTATTCAGACTTAACATTTATATTGTGGGGAGTTTGATTACATTAAATTTTAATCACGTATGCCTTCTTCTTCTTCTTCTTGTGCAAATTCGAGGAGATATCAATTATTTGTCGACATTGTTAAATTATTTTTTACGAAAATTTTTCATAATGTTTTAATGCTTGATCGCTATCATAGGATTGGAAATGAAATAGTACTTACAATTCACTATGGATGCCAATTTTATTCAATAGGCTGAACTTCAAAATCGCCAAAATTCTAGGGAAATTGCTGATGATGCATTTAGGGCAGTGTTTGGAAAGGAGCAGCCTGGTCGAGTTAGGTGCTATGGTAGATCAGTGACAACAAGTTCTTTGAAGAAAGATGAGGAAATTAACAATCTAAAACAAAAGCATGTCGATGAAATCACTTCTCTAAAGGAAGAATTGAGAGAAGAAATGCGACATTTATTCACTCAATTGCTGCAAAACAACCCTGGATTGAATTTTCAAGATATACCAGGGTGTGTTGGATCTAACCTTGTTTCACCTATTGATGCAAGTAGTGCACAAGCTGTAAGAGGCACAAATCTTCCATTTTCTTCGGGGTCAGCTCAAGATTCGGTTCTTCAAAAGGTATTTTCTATTTCAAATTCTCTGTTAATAGTGTCAATATTGTTTTTATTCTAGTTTAGTTATTGTTCTTGGTAATGAAATTCAAAACTTATTTTTACTTGTCTAAGTTTAGTCCACCAATTTATAACTGTTAAGAATGTTTTTGTTTTTGGTTTAAGCATTCGAATGGTTAGTTGAATAATTGTTCTTTTAGTATTGTGCAATTGAGGAGTTATGGCTAACACATTAATGTGCTGCAGCCTGTGATTAAAATGTCTACATTCTCGACAATTATAATACTATTGTTATTAGTATAGAGTTTAATTGTTTGCAAACCTTTACCTTTGTAGGGTAGAGAAACCATCTAGAGCTTGACCATTAATAGAAGATCTTGTGGGTAGATTTATTATGTTTGATAGATCCTCAATGGTTACTTGTTCACTGTCTGTTAAATCTTTACCTTGTTCAAGATTTTTTTGTGTCTTTTTATAGCATTCCTTCTCTTCTTACTAAACATTTCTCTTGTCTGTATTTTTTGTTTGTGTCTTTTTTGTTCACTGTGTGATGATGAACCTTGCCCTAGAGATTACTTCTCTTGGAATATGGGTACTGGGATTACTGAGATTACTTCTTTGAACTTCATGATGAACCTGCAGGACGGACCGTCATAGACTCGACAGACCGTCGTAGACTCCGTAACCCCACACTTAGACTTCCCCATCTTCCTTCAGCAGCTGCACTATGCTGCCACCTACGGACCGTCACAGACACGACGGTCCGTCAAGGGTCTCCGTTCCAAAACACTTTAAACTCTTGGAATATGGGTACTGGGATTACTTCTCTGAACTTCATAACGAACCTGCATGACGGACCGTCACAGTCACGACGGACCGTCGTGGATTCCGCAACCCCACACTTAGTTAAACTCTTGGAATATGGGTACTGGGATTACTTCTCTGAACTTTATGACGAACCTGCAGGACGGACCGTCACAGTCACGACGGACCGTCGTGGTCTCCGTAACCCCACACTTAGTTAGACTTCCCCATCTTCCTTCAGCAGCTGCACTATACTGCAGTTCTTTGAAAATATCATGTCATGTTGTTATGTATTGATTTTTGTGGACACTTCTAAACTATGCTATGAACCTTGTTTCCAGTGGTCATCATTGGTTTGTTTGAACTACTTGTGTGTAATTTTTACATTGAAGTTTACAACAGAAGACTGCACAAATTAAACTTTTGAAGTTTAATTTTTGAGAGCCAACAACAGAAGACTGCACAAATATTGTAGTCCTTATAATGTGTAATTTTTACATTGAAATTGTATTTAGATTTGGATTGGTTGTCTTACAGTGAATTCTCTCTGATTATGCACTTCCACAATTCATCACAAACTTATAATTTTATTTTAAATGTGCAGGAAAATGCAGGTAATTGAATTTGAATTTGGTCAGAAGTAAACTCGATCCATTGTGGCAAAAGATGAAGAAATTTTTGTATTGTTGTCATATAATTTTGAATGACACTTTTGGGTTTTTGGAACTTGTTGATATTAGAGATCTTTAAGCAATCACTTTCTATGTTTTGGTTGTACATGAAATATTTCTCGAAGTTTATTTGAAATATTTAGCTTCAATTTAATAATTAATTAGTTCATTTTGTGTTTTAGGTCACTTGTATGTATGTAAATATATTATATATATTTGTGCTACATGTAGGCTTATAAATGTTGAAGTTACACTTTGTAAGTGTTGCTTTAGGTAGATATAAAGTTACACTTTGTAAGTGTTGCTCTAGATGAGATATAAAATCAACACTTTATAAGTGTTGCTATAGATGAGATATAAAGTAACAATTTTTAAGTGTTGCTATAGCAGACATATAAAGTAACACCTTATAAGTGTTGCAATAGATGAGATATAAAGTTACACTTTATAAATGTTGGAATAGATGACCAATAAAAGGCAACACTTTTTAAGTGTGCCCAATAAATCTGAAAAGGCAACGCTTTTAAGTGTAGTCTAACAAAAAATAGGTGTTGCTAATGCACGTCTTCAAAGCTTGCCCTTATACCTATTTGGCTACGCTTTATAAGTGTTGCCAAAGATGGCAACATTTAAAAAGTGTTGCCTAATGCCAAAGGTTACGCTTCTTTTGGGTAGCCCTTAAAAAGTGTTGCTGAATGTCCCAAAAGTGTAGCCATTTCTCAAAGGCCACACTTTTTGCTAGTTTAGGCTACACTTACGTGGTGTTGCTGTAGGCCGAAAATGGTGTAGTGAGAAAGAGAGAGTTAGAGAAGAAAGTAGTAAACTTGTAGTCATATCAATTTTTGTGTGTCAATTGTTAATTTCTTACTCACCATTTGTATTTTTATTTAAAACAATGTATTTGTTTTTTAGTTTGTAGTCATTCAAATAGGTATGTCAAATGATTTTGTATGTCTATGTATCCTATTTTTTTCACGTTAATTTGTATTATTTTTTTAGAATATTGTATTTTCCTCAACAGATTGTATTATTTTTATTATGTATGCATTTGTTTTTTAGAATCTTGTATCCCTATTTCTTCAACAGTCAATTTATATTTTTTTCTTAGAATAATTGTGTTATTTCTAACATGTATACTATTTTTTCAGACTATTTTTTCAGAATCTTGAATCCTTTCGTAAATCATATATATATATATATATATAGGTTAGATTATAGTGGGATATAACAAGTAATATTTTTGTAATACATACAAAAAGATTATATATTTGGCACTCGTGTAACACAATTTTGATCGCTGAGATACGATTTATAGTTTTCACTATAAAAGTAAAATATCAATTTTAATTTGAATGGTAATCTGTACACATAAAATGTAAAATTATTGACAGACAGTTATGATAACAAAGAAAATAAAAAAGAAAGTTGATCCAATTGAATGAGAAAGGAGATTTCTTTGAAATTATAACGGATGAGAATTTTAAGTGATATGTTATAAGATTGGATGACAGGATGATATCATCATAAGAAACTAAGTGATGTTTCGATTAGGGGGAGTATAATACAAGTTATACTCTTTTTTCCTCGAGATTTTGCCCCATTGGATTTCTCGTGGATAGATTTTTAATGAGGCAACAAATAATGCATATGAAAAGATATGTATAACCTTTTTCCTTCACTAGAATTTTTCCACAGAAATTTTTCTAATAAGGTTTTAACGAGACACATTATCTAAAGACATCTAAGGAGGAATGTTATAAATCCATTGAATTGTGTGGATTGTCTAGATATATTCAAGACTTGATTGTATTCATTCATGTATGCATGTCTCCAAAGTGATAAGAAGCCCTTGGATAACTATGTATCTACTAGTTTGTAACCTTTGAAAATAATATCTCAACACTATAAAATAAAAATATCACTCACCATTTGGAAGACACTTGAAAAGAAGAAAAACTTCTTCATCTACTTAGCTTGTCTTCTTCTTTTTATATTATATCATTATGACTTATGAGCTTATACTTTATAACAAATTGAAAATTAGATGTATCAAATCACCTTGTCTATATTTAATTTAATATTATATATAGATTGTTACAAATGAAACGTCAAATCATATGTAAAATAATTACAGTAGATTATTTGTATGGAAAAATTAAATCTACTCGTGCTCAACATAAGTCGTATTGCATCTAATAAATCGATGTAATAAATTCATCAAAAACTCCATTATGAAATAAAAGAGAAATAAAATGAACTAAAGGAGAAGAAAACAAAAGTGAGTTCATTTAATCAATTCGTTGTTGGCCTCGTTGGCTTCATAGCTATCTTCTTCTCTCTTGTTCTTCTCCTCCTCTTCATGTTCAACTTCTTCTTCTTTGTATTTCTCTTCTCCACCAACTTTGTCAGTATCATTACAAGTATCATTACAGTATTCAAGAGGAAAGCCGCTATCAAAGTAATTCTCCTTAACATCTTCTTTTTCTCAGCTAGAACTAGGCGTATCACCATAATTGTATATTACCATAGTCATGCTCTTTCCTATCTGAAGAAAAATCATCACCACCAGAAAAGACACCAGGATCAAGATTAGAATCATTACACTAAAAGTCTGACATGGTATTTATAATGAATATTTAAAAAATATTTTTTGCTAAGAATGAATTTTATTAAACCTACTTGTGCTCAGCATAAGGTAGGAAAGGTCATTGGTATAATGATAAACAAATAATGATTTATAAGAAGTATATAATGAATATAATAAAATAACGCTCAAAAAAATTATTAAATCTCGCATAACTACATGCATTACTAATACTTACATAACTAATTCATGTATTACTAATATTTGCATAACTCCAAACTACAATGAAATGACCCCTTACGGTAAATTTGATATGAAGGAAAATGTTTTCTTGAAAAACAAGTAAATTTAGTTGTTGAATGAAAGATATTTTCCAAAAAACATCTTTTGTTTTTAACTTAAGACTAGACAATATTCTTTAGGACTAATTTATGATTAGAAAATGAACCCAATAATTAATTTAGGACCCAACCTTGACACCTAAACTAGGACAAGATCGCGATGACCGTTTCAACATCCGACATGAGATTTGCCACCAAGACTTGGATAAACTTTTTTATATATATTTCAAACAATTTTTTTTAAAAAAAAATTAAATTGACAGGGTGGCCTGGGTGAAGAATGACGGGGAAGGCGTAAAAAAATTTTAACCTTGAAATATTTCCCCAAGCGTATTTTTTTGACAAGGTGACCTGGGTGGTGGATGGTGGCGTGGGGCAGGTGGCCTAGGTGGATGGTGGTGGTTGGGGGAGGAGGTTTGAGTAGGGGTACAAACATATTTGAAATTTTAAAAATAAGAAAATATAATTTAACTTTTTTATGGCGAGAGTTGGGTATGGCGTACAACGTATTGGGTAAGAAAAAAAATATTTTACCTTAAATTTAAAGAAATTGAATTGATTTTCAAAACATTTAAGTCAACCAAACATGGGAGGTTCATTTACCAGTATGAGAAAAACAAACTTTCAAACAACAAACTAATGAGCTATATGGCCAGTTATATTTCATGGTAAACATGAATTACCTATAGAGAACTGATTAGGTAACAAGAAACCAAGTGCAAAGTAGACAAGTGGAGCATTGGTAGGGCAATTGTACATACTTACAGCAAAATTTATCAATAACAAACTACTTGTTAGGATTATATAACAGCTTGAGCTGTTGTATTCCTAGTGATATGGAGGAGTTGATTGAACACACAACTCTGACTCATCTCCTTCATCATCGTCGTCATCTGCTTCTACCCAGTTACTAGGATGGTGTTGAGAAGCATGACCTTCCAAATCCACCATGCCTGACATACAATTGGAGCAGCATAAGTTGAGTGGACAACAGAAACTAAATGTCCAGAGTAGGATCACGACTAACCTTGAGGTTCTTCCAAAGGATTCCTGTCCACAGAATGGAAGCTAATTGATACAGTCAAGAAAAGATACTTTCTTCTTGGAAGTACAGTCATGAAGTAATTAGAATTTCACACTGATTTCTAAATTCACCATCAAAATCCAATATCTTGCTCATATAGATCATTTAGGTGATTAGAGCATGTATATATTGGAGCATGTATATATTGGTAGTTTCCTCAAGCTATTATGTCCACCCTTATTACTCTTAGGGTTTGTCTGGTTAATGAACTAATTAAACAAAGGTTTGTAATACATAAAAAAAAAATAAAAAATAGAGAAGGTCACAGTCAATACATGAATTGTTATGCAGTGATTATAATGCAGAGAATGATATCTGGTAAATAATAAAAACAGATACTGTCAAACTTAAGCAGGATTGCAGTGATTGCGTACTTTAAGGATATTTTTGTCTTTTAGATACTTGCATCCTTGAAAGACTAATGTATATTACTATTCCACATTATATCCCACATAAAAATAATACTACATACATTTCTGCATAAATTATGCATGTATTAGTATATGGGAGTTTAATATCAGAAACCAAGTGCTGCAAAAGTTTCCGAGAGTTCTACACCTGAAAACAAACATTGTACTTATTACGCAGAGTTCTGTATTGCAAATTAAATTGTATTCGATAAATGGAATTTCAAATAGGGTTTGTTTTTCTTGTGAGACCAACCCAATGACCACTTATTATAGGTAGATAATTACTCAGCATAGAAAGTTATCCACTGCAGCATGGAGTAATCATGTGGAAAATGCATAACAAAATGTGCATGAAATTTGAAATATAGGTGACCTCTTGGATAGATACCTTCCCGTTACATTAGCTACAATTACTTGATATAAAGGTTTCCCCCTTCCAAACCCCACACCTTACCCCACCACTCCTCCCAAAGAAAATACTACCATATCAATCTCAACCAGATATGGGAGTTCCTTAAGATATTTCATACATGTCAAGACTTATCAACACTCAAGATTAGCCCAATAGTTTGGGACCAAAACCTCATGCTTCTTACCCCTCAATAGATTGTTAATTATGAACCTATAATTGAAACATCTGCAAACCATAAGAACATAACATAGCAGCTAGCTTTAACCACTATGTTTATATATCTACAGGCAATGGTAGGTTTAAAGCTGGAGCACTAAAATTCATAACAATTTTTAAAGCAAAAAAAGTTCAGGATACTCATTAGGTATGTCAGACATATTTCTTCCAGCAGCTCCAGCTTCAGATATGTGTATCACACCAATTTTCTGAATTTCCCTTTGCACATTATCGCTCTCGTTTCTTTCCTTTCCGTGTTCAGCATCATTACCACCTCTTGTTCTGCTTCCTATATAAAGTTGAATTTTCTTGAATTTATGAAAATTAAGTAAATATGTCGTACCAGTAAATAAGTTGTACCATCTAGTTCGGCAAATACTAACCTGAAAGATCAGACCAAATTCTGGTCTGATCAGATGGAAGCCCAGAATTCCCTTTTGACCTCTCCTGGACTGGGGCCTGTCTTCCATCATTAGCCTGCCCATAGGAAGTGCCAGCAGATTGTGGATTTTCCAAGGAGCTTGCAGTGTTGAGCTGTGACACAAGCATGGTTGCAAGTACCAAAGTGGCATCAAAAGTTGAGTTGGAGCCATCGTCTAAACCAAATTTTGGAGCCATTAAAATTGGCCTGTCCATAAATTCAGGTATTATCAGAAGAAAATCTTATATAAAGCAAAAAACTTATGTCTAACACAGCAAAGAGATATAATGTATTGAAAAAGAAAAACATTTAAAATTAGATGGTGATAACAATTGTAAGTTAAGCATGGTCTGTACAATAGATCCATGAAACATCAGCTTGTGAACCATGTTGTCAGGGAAGATGCCAAACGTATCTTTCACAACAATTGATTATTGACTGCAATTAATTTACACATACTAGCTAATTTGATTATGTTGCAAAAAAACATGCCTTTTGATGTTATTGCGTTCAACATTTTTTTGTTTTTGGACAGATATCCTTAGTTGGCCATTTTACAAAAGTATGCAACCTAAATCATTAAACTGTGAGAAAGAAAATTATTTTTGTTTCCTTCGGAAGCAGTTATCAACCATCCAAGCCAAAAAGTGCTGATATGGAGGCAAATGTATGCAATATTTCCGGACTTCAAAATAGCTTTCTGTGCAGATATCCTAAAGTGCATAGTGTTCCTCTTGCTGAAGACAAGGACAGTTTAAAGAAAACAACAAGGAACTAATGTCAAAAAAACCAGAGTGTTTGATTATCTTACTCGCCAGCTTTATCAAAATAGAACTGTATGTCAACTTCACATCCCTCACAGAAAGAAAGGAAAGCCTGAAGAGAGAATTTGCAAAAACGAACAAAAAAGAGGTTCAGCAAACATTGAAGAACCTCCAGAAAACACACGCGCTATTTTACCGCATCAAAGTTGTTATTACGTGTCATCTAAGAAAGGCCTCAGAATTGAGAAGGCATTAACTGGATTAAAGAAGTCCCAGTCAAAGACATGAAAAATTACTTTCGATTCCTTCACTCCAAATGTCACATCCACAGGGTTCGTGATATGATTATACTGCACAAACTCTTCAGTGGGATCTATCCACAACTGAGTGTGTAGTGATGAATCATTTTCTACAAAGAAAGATTAATAGCTTAAAACCACCTGTAAACAAGCGACAGTAAAAAGAAAAGAAAAAGTGGTTCACCCAGTCTACCTTTTGTTGGGTCTATATAACTTCTGAGCTCAACAGCTTTGCCTCCAATTTCAGTTGCAGTATCAGGAGGTAAGCAAGTTGGATTGGTAGCAATGATTGTGATCTCTTGGAGAGTTGTTTGGAAGTTTGACAGTAACCTGTTCAGATCACGAGGCCTCACCACAAAGTTGCTTGGAAGCTTTCTCCTATCAAGGGATAAGTGTTGTATGTCAGGTTCAACATTGCAAGTAATCCAATAAGCTTTCCTCATACCTGCAAAAGTGGCATGTTAAGGTGATGCTGCTAATACATCAACACGATCATCTATGTTGTACATATCATGTTATCAGAGAGATTAAGCAGGTCACAGTGTTGGAGATACATGGGACATCTCTAACTTCTTGTGATGTTCTCAATGGTGCAAATGATATCTTCATGATACAAATAGTGAAAGCTCAACCCTAAGACTGCTAATATATGCCGAGGGGAAGTTTAAAACAGAAAATGCTGAAAACTGTAACACATAGTAATGTTAAGCATATCAGTTAAGGAGATTAAAATATGACGAATGTAAGCATAACACTTCCAAAAGTTTAAAATATGACAAACGTAAGCATAACATCTCCAGGATATTAAATTATGACAAACTACAATCAAAGCATTCCAATAATACTCCTTAATGAATAGGGCAAATATAGCATGAAACATATATTATTTTTAAGCTGTTATTATTTTCATAGTTGGAAACCAAGGTCAACTTAGGATGCATTTCTATTAGATGGGAGATTGTATTGTAGAAAAAGCTAATCTATTCTATCGTATACCTTTTGACATTTTAAGCTAAATTTCAATACTTTAAATTGTATTTATCTTTGTAGACTCTTCAATTAATTCATACGTATCTATTATTATAATACACTTGACTTTGGAATTCTAATTCAGTGTTATCATCACTAGCTTTGGTTTGAAATTATATTATCATTTAACTAGAGATAGGCTTAACTATCTCATGAATTTTACCTTGTTTAACAGTTCCATACTCCTTCGCGGCCTCGCCTCTCCTATAAATTTTCCATTCTTATGTTTTCTCCTTACCTTTCTCCCTCTCTTCTTGGTGCTAAATCTATTTAGGGCCTATGTGGTCAAGCGGTCAAAAATAGCTTATTTTGAGTAGTACTTTTTAAAAATAGCTTTCGAAAAAATATTTCAAGGAAAAGCAGTTTGTGTTTGACCGAATTATTAGAAAGAAACTCAAAAAAAATTGAGGCACTTGCAACTCCATCAGGAAAATCAGGATGGACTGTCTTAGCCTCTTTTTTTTTGTGTGTGTGTGTAAAGGAAACTTGGGTGGGGGGGGGGGGGGGGGGGATGTTGGCGATCTAATAGAACTAATTGGCAATGTGTAAGTTTTTATGTAAGACCAGGATCTCCTATACTTTAGTTTGCTTCACACAGCTCAGTATCTTTTTGGTTTTGAGATTTACTGTTTACAGTGTTGATTTTCCCGAAAAAATATGTATTTAAGAAGTGCTTTTTTCAGCAATTGATAAGCAGAGTGTATTTGGTTAATCATTTTTCAGAAGTGTTCTTCAGTGCCAAATTATGAAAAAGGACATGGCTGGCTGGGAATCTAGAGCACTGTGTCTGTCGAGTATTAGCCTTATTCATGTAGTTTCTTCCTTTTGATATCTATAACCATTCGTTGTATAGTGTTTCAGTTACCACATTATTTACTACTGTTATTGTTCTTTTTCTGAATGCTTTGTACTACTTTCCTTATTAGTTGCAATGTTTTCTTCATTGTCATATTTCCTTTCTCTTAACTACTTTGATTTGTTGCACTTGAGTCTACGATCTTTCATAAATAGCTTCTCTATCTCCACGACAACCATAAGGTTTACGTACATTCTATCCTTCCTGGACCCCACTTGTTGGATACTTGGATTATATTGAGTATATTACAGTTGTTGTATCCAGATTATCATTAGATAAATAGATTTATCCCTTGTTAATGTTAAGAATTTTAGTTTGATTTTACATTTGTCTTTTTGTTAAATATTGAATCTCAGTTGTCTTAAGAGTAATAATTTGTTCCAAGTTCCCTAGTTTATAAATGGGACATAGTGCCCATTGTGTTAACAATTATAACCGCTTAGGAATGCCTGGTGGTTGAACTCGACAGGGAGTTTACTGTGAAACTTGCCTTAGAGAAATTCTGCATCCAAATGGCAGGAAAAAGTTAGGGAACATAAAAGGCGAATTTAGGAATTCAACTGGCAGCACCTTTTGGTTAAAAATCAAGGGAGTAGATATCCCTTTGAATTAGTCAAGATGCGTGCAAGATGTTCCGAACAGCACAATTATAAAAAAAAAAAATCAAAAGGGTGTTTAAACTATGAGCTTTAAAGGTTAGACCAGAGCAGACAATACCTTACAGTTGGACATGGGCCATTTTGTAGATGAATGTGAAAGGAGGTTCATTCTGATACTTGTTTTAGGAAAATACCAAATCAGAATGGAGAGAATAGTTAGGGGCTATAAAGTCGTGAGCTTAGGAATTTAATTATTGAGGCACTTTTTGGGTTAAAGCCTACAAGAAGAAAACTATAGTCCCCAAAGGTTAGGTTAGAGTGGATAACACATTTGCAGTTGGGCATGAGCTATTGAGTTGAAAAGCCTAGGAGAACTAGTGCTTGAAATCCAGGCAATGGTTCGATGTAAAAGATGCCTTTGGCAAATTCCATATGAATGGAAGTGTGAAAGTTAGGGTCCGTAAAAGGCGAGCTAGCGATTTCAACTGTTGAAGAGTCTTTTGGATTAAAGACCTAAGGGTCAAAAAATTGTGAGGTTTCAAAGGTTGTTGACTGAGTAGTTACACTCTCCCTTTTAACTTCCTTTTGGAGTATTTCCTATTCTAACATTTCCAGTACCTTTCTTCCTACTCCTGTTTTACACTTTATCACCTTGTGCCATAATGTGAAGATAATGCATGGGTAGACACAATGTAACCATTTATTCACGAGAATCATAACAAAATTCACCAGACCTTTGACACTATATCAATGTGAGTCTCTACATGGTCTATCCATTAAAGTAAATACTCCCTTCCCTGCCCTGACCTAATCTATAGCTTGTAAATAAGAACATATTTTCCTTGTATTTTTAGGAATCCTAAAAAAGAAGTTTTACCATTATGGCAGTTGAGTGTCCACTGCACCTTTGATGCATCAGGATTAGGCAATGAGACAGTCAAATGATCTATACTGGCAATTGGTGTTCTTAATACAGAACAAATAGCCTACAAAACATGAAGTTAAGGTAAAATTAAGGAAAAGAGTTTAGAGTAGAGAGGATTGGATTGGTAAAAGCATATATATACCTTCAAGAGCACACTGCATTGCACCTGTGGAGCAGAAACAGTGAAGACATCAAAATAATCAGGTTTGAATGTAATTGATTGATAGGCCGACCTTGAGGAGTTAAGAGTGTGAAACGTGAGCTGCGAAAAAGAAGGGAAGAATGAAGCAGTTGAATTGTAAAGTACCATGGTGTCGAAAATAGGGCATAATCTGAAGCGACCACAAAACCCCAATTACTGTAATAGTGGAGCAAACACTTTACTTCAACCAAAGTAGTGTTCAAATGGAAAAGGAAATACAACGAACCTGGGTAGAAGACGCTTGAATGGCGACCTCATTGCCAATGCGTGCAAGGCACGTTATGGATCTGGCGAACGTCTTCACTGCATTTCCACTCATTTTCAGCTCCATTTCTTTTCCTCTCTCCTTTCTACTTTTCGGGGGAGGGGATTTCTTAGTTGTAAATACTTAAAAAAAGAATGAAAAAATAGCAGTAAGATTATCCTCAATTCTACTCTATTTTATTTTCTATTTTTTATATTTTGAGACTAAAATAAAGAATGTTATCTCCAATTACCCTCTATGTTATCCTTTACTCTTCAATCATAGAGAGTTGAATATTAGTTTTTCAAATTATCTCTATTTCACTTTTTGAATATTATAATATATTTTTTTATAATTAATATATTATTTTCATATAAGGCTATTAATTAAATCTTTAATATATGGAATTTTTTTAAAATTTATTATAACATTTTTAAAAATATTTTATTTTATAAATACTACTTTCATCTCGAATTAATAATATTTGAAACATTTATTTAATTTTCGTTACTTTGTGATACAATTTGATGTTATATTAATTTCCACTATAAAGAATGCACAAAATTGTTACGACCCAAAGTACTCCCTAGGTGTAACAGGCGTCGTCGTCCTCTAAGAGGACTAAGACAAGCCCTTGGCATGCATCATAGCACATCATAGGTTAAAAATGCGAAAAAATTTAAAAACTTTACGAGTGAAGTATACTTAGACTTCTCACTAACGTATATGGGATATAAAACCACCCCTCTCTTATGAAGCTTACATAGGCTTCTGACTTAACATTTAACAACATAGTCTAATAATTCATCTCACATTTAACCATCCAAAGAATGAATCACAATAGTTTGGGCAAAGCTCTTAGTCTATTACAATATGACCATATAGGCTACAGCGAATCTCAACATGAGAATAAAATAAAACATAGACAAACTAATAAGACTTGATAGGTGGCTCTATCTTGGGAACTCATGAGGACTCACCAATTGACTTATGAAAGATCCAAGTCTTCTTCTCCAATGACAACGAATCTCCTCAATGACCCGAACCTAAAATGTTTGAGAAAAAGGGAGAAAGTATGGGTTAGTACAAACCACATGTACTAACTGTGACTCATATGCATAAAAATCATCAATTCATGAGAAAAAGACATTTGAGTGAAAAAAAATCATAATTTCTATCAATTTAACTCAACATGCACATACATAAAGCATAATAAGTCAATTTAACATAATATCAATTACCAAGTGAACAACGCAAGCAACACTTGTGCAATGACAAGGACAAAGCCCCATAACCCTATCCAAAGCTAAGTATCACATTAAGCAATCCACTTCATACTTACAATATATTCTCATATTTTCATAACATGCTTCATACATCAATACTACTCATAGCTTATCAATATAATCATAATCATAATCATAAGAGAACACAACTAGAACCGTCCATTAGGATCCCACATGTGAAATGTGTAAGAGAAGTCTCACACTCTCCCTCACACTATGTAGTAGACTTTAACACAACCCTAATAAGAGTTCACATACTTACCTTGTTCATTTATTTTTACATTAGGAAAATAAGTACCATAACCGACATGAGACCATGTGAGCTACATGAAATCTAGTGTTTACTCCCACACCAAAAAGAGAGGGTTAATACACTTGCCTAAGGTGCAACAATTCGTACATAACTATCTAGGTGTATCCACTAAGCTAGAGTCTTATGTGGACACATAGTTAAGGATCAAGGAGATTGTTACTAGAAACCTTGACTTACTGAACGTGAGGGTTTCTATCTCATGAGACAACACATATCTTGGGAATCCAGGCTTACTAACGTGAGACCTCCATCTCATTTACATGCCCTTTCGGTGCTAAGCAATTATTCCCTTTTGTAATCATATTATTTCAACATACCAGTTCACATTAGCCTCCTCTAGACCCCTATGTAAACATCTTATTATATTAGCTCATAGGTTATCATAAGTGAGAACAATTCTTTCACTTTAGACACAAATTCATAAGTGAGTAAACCTTTCACTTAACCTTATTATAATTATGAGAAACTTCTTTTAATCATTCTATCATAACATGCATACATAATTCATGTCTAATTCAATGTGTTAGGGTTAGGGATGTGGAATACATAGCATCACATCACAACCACACATTTCACATAGAAGCATTACTATCTAAGTAATTCATAATTCACAATTGAATCCAAGAAGAACCAATCAACATACCTTTCTTGCCCCTTCCAAGAACCTTCATACTTCCATTACCAATATTACATAACCAATTACATAAGCAAGGTAAATTCACGAAGCAATTACGTAATTAACAACAATGTAGTCAATCTTCATGTTCATGATCTTCACAATTCACCATATCAATTCAAGGTTTTCATGAAATTGGGGGAAAGACACGGGTCTAGGGAAATCTCGTAGGAAATCATAAATTTACCATCAGTATATACTTAAACAACATTAATTTATCATAATTCATTAGAAATGATTCATAATTTTATTTTTTCAAAGAAGACCCATGTGTATAAGAAAACCTAGATGTTTGGGAATTTAGGAATCATTTTTTGGAGGGACCTCTTGGGGAAAAGGATCCCAAGAGTGAAAGAAATCATACCTTAAAGATGAATCACCATGAAATTGAGTAGAAACTTGAGGGATTTGGTGTTCTTCAATAGGGGATGAGCAGAGAGAGAATGTATAGAGAAGGAAGAGCTTTTGGAATTCGTTTTGCGGTTTTGATTTGATGAGTAATTGTGAGGCAAAACTGATGAAAAATCAATATATAACCCTCCCCTAAAATACCCAAAATACCCTTCACTTTAATTGACCATTATGAAGTCAAACTCGAATTTAAATTTCAGATTTTTTGTCGGGGAACAAGTCCGGGTTGCGAAGCTAATCCTGTAAGATTTACAGAAGTAATTTTTGAACCAGATGAGTCTGCGACATGTCCGCGTCGCAGACCAAACTTTTGGCTTTGGGTGTGCCAAGTCCGCGACGCGGATTTGCTCCCTCTAAGCACAAAAGTTGCTGCCTCTTGGCAGCTTGCTTGGTCCAAAGTGGGGTCCCCCTCGTACGATCCTTGGGGGTCAGACCTGGACGTCTTAAACCTATATATTATTTTACCTATTTAAAGCCTTTTAAATGTTTTATACTTCATACAACTCTCCTAAACCTTCCAAAAACCTAAGGATGTTCACTAGTTCAATTTCGCTAGTTTTCGGATGTCATGATCGTTCCTTAGCGTTTTCGTTCCAAGACTTCTTAGAAAAGTTTATTGAACTTATTTAGGATTAAAATCACCATTAGTTTTATTGTGAATCTCTAGTCTAGGTCATAGAATTTTTGGGGTGTATCAATACTCCCTCCCTTAGGAATATTCGTCCCCGAATGACACCCTTAAACCTTTATAGGAAGAAGAGACTCAAGACTGGCACCTCAACCAACAACAATATATATCAAATGAGTCACAGCTCCCTGGAAAAGTTTTACACTCTTTTCAACAACAAATCATAGCATTAGCACATTGGTAAATCCACAACATAATTCATAAAAGAGCTCAACTTTTTACATCACATAAGGAGGAACTACCTTCACCTTTTGAATATGAGCTCATTTTGAACATCAAGAGGTTTACATGATGATTTTTATCATAAAAAGACGAAGCATGATCAATAAAATTTTTCATGAATAAAATAGCACAAGACAGACTCAAGTGAAAGCTAACAACCATAAAAAACATGTTTCATGAAAACTTAACTTAGGCATGAATTTCTACTACAATATACACATATTAGAAACACATGATAAGTTCAACATAATTCATAATATCATATAAGGAATTGCTAACCTTAACCTTGGCTAGGAGTAAGAGGGATAAGGTAAGGATAGTGGGACTTCATGTTGGCCTCAGCCTCCCATATAACTCCCTCAATAAGGTGGTTCCTCCAACGAACTTTTATGGAGACAACCTCCTTATTCCTCAATTTCTTAACTTGACAATCCAAGATCTCAACTGATACCTCTTCATAAGAAAGGTCCTCTTTTACCCCTAAACCTTCGAGAGGAAGAATGGAGAATGGGTCCCCTATACACTTCTTGAGCATGGAAACATGGAATACCGAGTGAATCATGGACAACTTATTTGGCAATTTCAACTTGTAGGCCACACTCCCGACTCTTTTCAAAATTTCATACGGCCCCACAATACCGAGGACTAAGTTTCCCCTTCTTTCCGAACCTTATCACCCCTTTCATAGGTGAAATTTTCAAATAGACCCAATCTCCTACTTCAAATTCAAGGTCCCTCTTTGTATTGTCGGCATAAGATTTTTGCCGACTTTAAACCATTTTAAGCCTATCCCTTATATACGAACCTTCTCGAGAGTTCCATAAACCAAATCAGGACCAATTAGAGAAAACTCACCTACCTCATACTACCCAACCAGGAATCTACACCTCCTTCCATAAAGTGCCTCGAAGGGAGCCATAGAGATAGTCGAATGTTAGATATTGTTCTATGAGAACTCTATCAAGGGCAGGATGTCATCCTAATTACCCTTGAAGTCAATGACACATGGCCTCAACATATCTTCAAGAGTTTGAATAGTGCATTCTGCTTGCCCATCCATCTTGGGATGAAAAGCGATACTAAGCTTCACCTTCATACCAATCCCACTTCGGAAAGCTTTCCAAATTGAGAGGTAAATTGAGTGCCTCTACCTGAAATGATAGATAAAGGATCTTCATTTAACTTCACTATTTCTTTGAGCTACAATTTGGCATAGTCTTCCGCCGAATAAGTGACCTTGATGGGAAGAAAATGTGCTGACTTGGTTAAACTATCCACAATGACCCAAATTGAGTCATGTTGACTTCGAGTATGAGTCATCCCAACTACGAAGTCCATGTTAATATCTCCCACTTCCATGTTGGAATGTCTATAATTTGGGTTAGGCCACCCAGCCTTTAATTCTCCGCTTTTACTTATAGGCAATTCGGACACTTAGCAACGAAATCTTCTATGTCCCTTTTCATACCATTCCACCAATAGATTTCCCGTAAGTCGAGGTACATCTTTGTGGCACCTGGGTGAATGGAATATCGGGAACCATGAGCCTCTTCCATG